CTATCACTCTTCTTCCTCCAACTACCGTATTAAAAAAAAAAAAAAAAAAAAAAACAAACTTGACACTTCCTGCCTCCTGTTTCCTCACCACCCACTTGCTTCTCTATCACTTGAAATCTGGCTTCGGCTCCCAGTGCTCTACTGAAAGTCTTTTCATGATGGGATCAACTGCAGATAACAGAATTAATGGCTTCTTTAGGCCCCTCAATCCCTCTGCAGGTTCACACAGGAATATGCAACACTTCTTAACACTCTCTTGCCTCAGCTTCCATAACACTGCATTCCACGATCTCTTTATGTGATCTTTGGTTCCTCTTTCTCACCCTTATATTCTCAGATAAACTCTTACTTCTCCCTTGAGTAAACTATCCACAGTTTGAACTACTGCCCCTTCACAGAACCACAAGCCATTTCTAATCCTAAATCACTTCCTCAACTTTAGATTCACATGTCTAATGGGCTTCTCAACTTGTTCAATCTACTTTTCTCCAAGGACTATACGTTCAATGTACTCCAACCAAACTCATCAATTTCCCCACCATATTTTCTCTCCTTGTCTTCTTGATTCTTGTTATGAAATCACCATTCTTGGAGGGTGGGGTGGGAGCAACAGAATCAGCCACTTTTTCTTTAGCATGCACACAGCACTATGACTGTGACTGTTCAAGTACCTGTCACAGTTGACTAACCACTTAACTCGCTCCCTAGACTTGAAGCTCCAGGTCAATCTTTGGGGTTGCCCCTGTGCTAAGACACAGAAGAAACTCAACACATTTGGAAAAATGGACAAATCCTTTGACTCATACCAAATTCATCACTCATTCTTCATACTCTAATAACATACTAAGTTCTCTTATGCTTCAAAAAAAAAAAGCTCTGGATTTTTCCACATACAAGGCCACTATCCTTCATTAGACTCAGATGAAATCCCAAACCTAAACTACAAGTATCTCATAACTGGGCAATCAAGCTACCACTCTTAGCAGAGCAATCTTTCTAAAACGCTACTCTAACCACATCACTCCTTGGCTCAAACACCTCCAGTGGTTTCCCACTATTACCAGAATCCAGTCCAAATCCCTTAGCATGCTATCACTGCCTTTCCCTGTCTGAATCTCTATCTTTCCATCCTTCTCTCCTACTACTCCCTACGTTCTAGTCCAGGGGTAGGAAACACCACGGACAGTGGGCCACATCTAGCCCACTGCCTGTTTTGTAAATAAAGTTTCATTGGAACACAGCCAACTGACATTTTGGGACACATAATTCTTTGTTGTAGGGGACTGTCCTGGGCATTGTAGAATGTTTAACAGGATCTTTGGCCTCTACTGACTAGATTCCAGTAGTGCTTTGCCTGCGTGACAACCAAAAGTGTCTCCAGACATTGTCAAATGTGTTCTGGGGGGACAAAATTGCCCCAATTAAGAACCACCATTCCGAGTATAAGCTAACAGTATGATGTTATTGCTGACAGAATACAGACTATATAATAATTGTAATACAGTGTGCAGATTATAAGTCACACATTATTCAGTGCTGGTTGATTTACACTTGTGAGACTGTGCTCAATTATGAATTTTAAGAGGAATTTGGAAAACTGGAATTCATATAATCAATGGTGACCAGGCTGATGAGAAACTAGGGGAAAATGTCATAAGAGGAATATTTAAGTAAATGGAGATGTTTAGCTTGTACAGACAAAGATAAAGAGAAATCCATGATCTTTAAATATCTGATGGGTTGTCCCATGAGAAGAAGCTTTAACTTACTGTTATTCAGGAAGGCAGAACTAGAAAGAGTGGGCAGAAGCTGAAGGAAGGCAGATTTTGGCTCTATACAAGTAAAAGCTTTCTAACAATCAGAGCTGGCCAACAAATCTATTAGGCTGAGCTGTGAAACTGTGCTCTCGTCATTCTGGAAGTGTTCAAGCAGAGACCAGATAAATTGATGTCAAAGATGCTACAGAGCTTCTTGCATGGGGTGGGTGGTAGGACAATATGGTCTCTCTAGGGTTCCTTCCAGCTCTGAGATCCTAAGGCTAGCAAAGGAAAAGCCATATGTAAAATTCCCCAGTTTCAAGACCTTAATCACAGCAAAAGAAATAATATTTTGCCAAACAATTTACCCAATGTCTGTTTGTTAACATCTTATATTTAGTCCCTGGCATTTCAACTACCAGCGATCTATTTTTTCCTAATCAACCTGCAATCAGTTCCTGGATAATGTGGATCACTGCCTTTAAACCATATTTTCTATTCTGTTAATAATCACCACTAGCATAATTTGTATAATGTTTTACAGTTTGCAAAGTATTGTGACATGCACATTTTGCCTCATTTTCTTATGGAAAAACCTAGCCTTTATTATTCATTAAACATTCACTAATAAAGCATATTCTGGAAGAATATGTAGAGACCGCTCTGGGGTCTCTACTGGGAAAAACTCATGTCTGAAACTCAATCTAGTTATTTCAGCATCAGAAATAGGAATTTACCTCAATGAAATTTCTATTTTATTTATGATTTGGGGAGGAAAATTTGAAAAATTACAATTTAGCTTTCCCAAATTTCAATGTAGCCTTATAAACCAAAAGTTCCAGAAAGCAGACACAACAAAATGTGAAGCATATGAATTATTGATAAGCAAAGCCATTGTAGGTCCTCATTCCAGGGACTCTTTTACTACCCAGCTAAAGTTGCCATCAAGAGTTGCGTAAGAACTTCCCCATAGCCAAACTGAGGCTTCACCCGCTTCTTTACTTACTTCTTTACGTTTTGTTTCTGGACATTCCGACTGTAGAGTGAGGGTTGCACCTTCAATATTTCTTGGCATGGGCGTGGAACCAGGGTTTATTGTTAAATGAATCTGATCTGGTGAGATAATATGTTGCACATAACCCTGGGACATTGCTTCATGATCTATTAGATGAAAGCCCTCTTCACCCCCTACTAGAAAAGGCAAGTGTTCTCCACACTGTCCATCGTCATCTTCATCCTCCAAAGTGCCAGGGTCCTGCTCAATAAGAACAGTTGTCCTATCATAAACAGTTCCAGATGAGGAAGGCACCAGTCCGTTTTTATCCACAAACCTGAGCATCTTGTCATCGGGAGTCAGCTCATCTTCCTCTGCCTCAAAGTAGATGATGTTGTTGTCTGGACTGTGTTCCCCCATGGTTCAATTGTGCTCAGCTCAATTGTGAGAAATGGAAAGGTAATGATGACCTGTCTGCAACAGAACAAAGCCAGAGTCAGAGCCATACCACATGACCTAGGGATTTCCTCAGAAACCACAGGCCTATTTTTCCCTCTCATTTCAAGAGCAGCACAAAGTAAATGAAAAATCATCTTCCATGGGAATAATTTTTAAGTTTTACTTTGAAACCATCATTTTAAAAGCAATGCCTTTTTAAAAAAAAAAAAAATGAAGTAATAAGTAGCAGTTCACAAGACCTTCCAAATGTGCCTACTGCCAAACAATATAAAGGTTGGTCAAAATACCTAAAGGGGATAAAGGGACAAAATGCTTCAAGTCTGAGTTGCTTAAACTTTAAAAGTAAGAAAACCCCACTCGAATATCCTCCAAATCAAACCACAAAGCAGTGTAATCTATGGTGCAAGGAGCAGAGCTTTGGAGGCAGGGTCACCTACCTACAAATTCCAGCTTTGCCACTTACTACTTGGGGAACTTTTCTGTGCCTCATTTTTCCTATGTGTAAGGTGGGACTGGTAATTCCTGTTCTCTCAAAGTTGTTATGTGGAGTAAGAGATAATGCACATTAAAGCACAATGTCATCCTGACAAGAGTAGAGAAAACAAGTGTGAATTCATTCTCTCCTTCCTAGAACAGATGTTTCAGCTCCTGTGTAGAAAGGGTGATCTATAATCAGGCATATCTAATGAAAATGTATCTATGTATGTATCTCATAGATAAAATGTATTTATCTATGTATCTCCTAACACAATCTGGTATCCACTAGAAGCCATGCTTGTCTAGTAGGCTCTCTGCGGTGAGGGAATGATGAGTCTTATTTTTGCTTCTAGTACCCCTAGCGCAGTACACTGACATTAGATGTTCAGAAGATGTCAGCTAAATGAATGAAAGGCCTGCACATATACTCTCTTGAGAAGATATGCTCTCTTGAAAAAGAAAGATACCAAATTTGAAGCTTTCCTGTTCTGGAATAGTGATTCTTCCTTTACCTGCAAACACAGGTTCTACAAATGGGAGTCTGGCAGGCAGAAGGGAAAATTTAAAAATAAGCACCACATCACTTTCAGTTTTCAGTCTGGCTTTGAACTTTATCTTTCTCTTGTGCTCTGGATTAGAAAGTGAACCTTTACGAAGTGGGGCGGCTAGACAGATAGTTACGAGACAGGCCAAGGGATCATATCCGGGAGGAACCGGCCCGACCCCTTGCTCTGGCTTACGCAACCCAGTAGATGCACAATTCGCTGCATCTGAGAGGAGAGAACCGAGAGGAGACAGAGGGAGCACCGGAGGCCCCATTGAGCTGCCCAGGCACCATCGGCGGCAACGCGGAGACTAACTGTCCGGAACAAACAAGACCAGGAGCTTTAAGGATGGCAAACGAGTACAAACAGAGCACCCATGAGAGGAGGCTGGAAAAAGGAACCTGTGTGGGACAGCTCCCAGCCCGGGCTACACGGAAAAATCAGAAGGCAAGCTGGGGGGTCTCCAAGCGGGGCGAAGAGGGGCAGGGTCCGGGTCTCCATGGAAACAGGGGAGGGGGGCTGGATACCCATCCCCATGGAAACGGAGGAGGGGTGGGGTCCCTATGGTGACCGCTCTGGGGTCTCTACTGGGAAATGCTGCAGGTGGAAGCCTAAGTCCCGCGCCCCTCGGGAAGTCCCCAGCCCAGGCCGCGTCTAGTTTCGCCTTTTACCTCCGCGGCTCCCGGCAACGGCGGCAGCGGCAGCTTCTCCCCTCCCCAGCGGCACCATGATTGCCCCCACCTTCCCCGAACGTCACTTCCGCTTCCGCTTTCCGGAGGAAGGAGGAGATACCGGTTCCGCCTCTCCCTGATGCTTCTGGTTGGATTAGGCTGTGTGGGGACTGAGCTCGAGCCTCCAATTGGTAAGAGGGAGGGGCGGGGCACCGCGCGACGTTGCGGGGCCGTGTGTTCGTCCAGTGTTAGGAAGCGCGCGCCGCATCTTTCCCTCGCCGGGCGTCGGAGCGTCACTCTTAAGGCTCCAGTAGCATGGAAAGGGGATCGAACCTCTGCTAATCCAAAGTAGACTTAGCCCGGTTTGCGCTGGCCCCCCTCGCAGCCACAACCGCAACGGGAAGGACCACAGTAAGGCATCCGAATTCCAGCTGGAACCCTCAGAGGGACCTTGGAAGGTTGTGACATTCCCTCTTTCTCCCTCTGTGGCCCCACCATCCCTTCTTCTCCCATCAGAGTTAATATAGACAGGAGGGTCCGAGATAAGAAAGATTGGACCCGAATGGCATAACGAGGTTGTATTCCAATCCCAGCCAGAGCACACCGCCGCCCCTTTCCCCCTCATATGTTCTCATAAGAAGCCCAACTCCCTCCTTACACTCCTGCCCAGGCTGTCTCTCCCAACTTTAACCCTGCAGAGGACTGTTGTCTCCCACCGGGCTATACCCGGACCAATCAACGCCACCTATTGGCCAATCCCTTTAACCGTTCACATCGTCATCCTACTGGCCGGTATCTAAATCACATTTTACACTAATTCTAAGTGGTGTTTTAGGGCCCAAGAAGCGATTTTGTTTGTCTTTTCTAAATCCCTGGAAGCTCTAAATGTTAGAACCTCCCAGCAGCCACTGCCTGTTTTTACCGTAAGCTACTTTTCTGGAATATTCAGAGAACAACCCCCAGAGACTGGAGCAGAGGTCAAGGGTTTCAGGCCGTTCCTGTATCCTCTTGCTTGAAAAATGTGAATAGTGACTGTACCCACCAGATGCCAGGCAAATATCTCCTTGGCCCCTGACTAGCTGCCCCAATGCTTAAGCCACAAAGGTCTAGCTATGGAGAGCTGCTATCCCTTTGGAGATAAAAACATACAAATAACCACCGTTAAAAATACATTTATCATTAAAATATATTACACACATGAGAGGAAATGCATCATATACAGTTCGGAGGATTTGCTGCCCAGAAAATTCCACTTGTTTCACCAGAACACCTAATTTCTTCAGTATTTTCATTTTCAAGCCACTGTGTTGCCCTCAGAGGCTGAGTGGCCAGCCTCTGAATTGCTGAGCCACATCTGAGTAGGAAAGGGGGTAAGGATTGCATATACATATACACATGTCCTCAGAGAGCTGGAAGTATCTGGGGTGGCTGTGGCCTGTTTATCCAACAGCTTCCACTTGCATTACTGCTGTCCAATGCATTCTCCCTTAGGAACTCCAGAGTTTGCTCAAACATCTGATCATGGGGAGGTCAGCCCAGGCTACAGGGAAGGCACTGACTATGCCTTGGAGGCAGGCTAAGTGAGCACAAGTACAGTTATTTCAACATTTTTAAAATAAAAAATAGAGATCTATCTGTGTTAAATAACTAAAGTTGAACATTTGAATGTCAGTTTTATTGTGGTGGATTTCCCCTCATGTCTTCACAACTCACAGCAGCACTGAGTGTAATAGCCATAGCAGGAGAAGATGGCCTGGGCTCAGGAAATAGGCAGTTGCCACTCTTGCTTCCAAATGGCCTCACATCCTCTTAAGGCCACTTTTGAACAAAAACAGGTGAGACTGGAAATTGGCTGCCTCAGGTAAAATAAGAGAAGAGATGGAGAGGCTCAGGGTGAGTTGTAGAGGAACTGGCGAATAAATTCTTGAGCCTTCTTCTCTGCTGTTTCAAGCTTTTGGTGACCAGCTGGGTGTCGAAGCAGTAAGCTGCCAAATATGCTAGCTGCATGAAAAACAGAAAACATGATTCAGCAAAAGCAGGTACTACTTAACTCTTGGGTTATTAGGAGTGGGGGAGTGCACCCCAAAGCAAATTTTCTGCTTAAAAAAAACTATTTGAGGGTGAACTGTGCCAGATTTTAGTTCTACTGCAGTGGACTTAGGACTTCCCTCAACAGCATTTCTCATGAGTCTCTCAGTTGGCAGAGATGCTTTCCATAGACGCTTGACTGCTTACCTAGAATATTCTCATCCAAATGATTTTTTGCTGAATTTTTCAGCAATTCTTGCAAAAACACCATCAAGTAGTGGAAGACATTTTTGTGGAATGTAGGGAGAGTAGAAATGACCTGAAAGAGGGAGAATTTGGATTTGTTTTTTCATTCATTCAATTATTTTGTCAAGTGCCTGCTACATTCCAGGAACTGAGTATACGATCCAAGTGCATGAGTAAGACTGTGCACAAAAATCCCTGACCATTTACCACTTGGCATAAGTGCCAAAAGAGAAGTGCTACATGAATTTGGAGGTCAAACTTCTGTGTGATCTCCACAGACTTAAAGGAATAGAAGACATTTTAGTTAGGTCTTGAATATAAGACAAGATTGGACTTGCAAAGGTAAAGGCTAGGGTATTTAGGGAAAAAGAGAGTGTAATAAAGGCAAGAGAAGGAAAACAGGTAAGGATCAGGCTAGAATTCAATGGATACTCCAGCTATCTGCATCTCAGAGTAAGTTAGGAAGCTTGTACAAAATATATTCCAAAAGATTTTGATTCAGTGGATATGGGGTGTGGCTCTAGAACCTGTGTTATTAGCAGGTATTCTAGATTATTCTGCTGTAGTCTGTTATATAAGTGAGCAACTAGAGTAGATCATAAGTCGTCTTGAAAATTTAAGAAAATCATTAATTGGCAATGGAGAGCCAAATATGATTTTTGACCAACAACAACATCATGAGAGCCTTACAACACAATCTGATGTCAGTATGCAAAACAAATCAGCAGAGGGAGAGCCTAAATGAGGGGCCTTGAACCAAGGTAAGTGGTATGAGAATGGAAGAAAAATGACGGGTGATAGATCAAGGGCACTGGGCATGTAGGAGGTGACAACTGGAGGAGTCAGAAATGACTCAGGTTTCTGGGTTGAGTCACTGCAATTAAGGGTGATGCCATTAAAAGAATAAAAGGACATGAGCAGAAGAACAGGTTAGGGAAGGAAAGATATGGAGCTGTTTCTAAGACATTGCATTTGAGGGGCTGTGACCACTCCATTCCCTTAGGCCCCAATGAAGCCTGGGCTGCAACATGTGTACTACTGATGCTTAATGCCTCCCTTCACCTGTTTACTTGCAGTGTAGTTGCCAGAACACTCCAAGCAGTTATAATAGGCGCTGTAACAGATGACGGGCTCTGGCAGACTCTCCAGGAAAAGCAGCAGAGCCTCGGCTATGGAATGATTGCTAGCAGCTTTTGGCCCATCGTTAAGGAACAGGTGATGTTGCTGCCCATGGTTAGGAAAAGGCCCAGGAGCAAGCACATGCCGGAGTTCTGCTTGCCCAGTCAGGCTCTCTGCTCAGAGCTAGGGTGCCAGGCTGATATCTTGAAGGGGCGAAGCTGTTTTTCAGCTTAGCTGGGCCCTCCTGAGTTCCTGCTATATTGGTTGCTTAAAGTTGTAAAGTCTTCTCTATGCAAACTTTAAGAAAAACATGATAGCTGAGGATACAATATCTAATTTTTGAGCCTTAAAATATTATTCTTTCACTTTTCTCACCTCTTTTACTCATAATTTCTCCATCCTTCTCCCTCTCTCTCTCTCCCTCTCTCTCTCATACCCACACACACACAAACACAATCTGAAGGATACAGAGAGTTTCGAGGGTATCATTCGTTCCAGTGTCCAAACAGTCTCTGATACGCTCAAATTCCAACCTAAGGCCTGGCTGTTGAAACAGATCTTCCTGCAAAAGAGAAGTCACAAAATAATTATATTCTCAGAAAATCAGCAGTGATTTCCTAACCTAAAAATATAATCACCAGCAGAGAACAAAAAGAAGCAGGGTAGTAAGGCCTTTGAATCACCTGGTACACAATCTGATTTAAGCTGGTGTGGCTAATTTATCTTGCAGGCCTTCCAAGCATGCTTCCACAACAAGTCTTTCGAGTGATATCTATTATAAAACTATGCGTAGGGCATACAACGCACAACAATAAGATCCAATGTAAGAGAAAACCTACAAGCAGCTATGTTTCCTGCAGTATTATAGAGGGACTAACCAGAAAAAGAAAAACCTGAAGAAATTATATCATTTATAAGATGGAGGAAACTAAAAAGCACCTCAGTGCTCTGTGAAAACAAGATTATGGCAATAAAGGTGTCTCCAGTAGTCCTCGGGTACTTTAGGGTGATTTGTTTTATAAAATGACTTAATGCCATTTAACTATGTTAATAATAACAGTATTATATCTATTGCTCAAAAGTTACACTTGGAAGGTGCTCTATAGAGAAGACAGAACAGCACAGTACTTGAGAATGTGACATCTACAGCCAGACTCCCTGGGTTCAAATCCCAATCCTGACCACTTATCAGCTTTGGGACCTTGACCAAGTTATTTAACCCTCCAGGCATCTATTTCCTCATCCGAGAGCTATTGTGAGAACTAAATAACATAATGCTATGAACATTTAGAACAGTGTTTGGAATAATGTAACACTCAATAAATGTGAGAAAAAAAGGGAAAAGAAAATCATAAGAATGTATGCTGTTCAGTCTCCCTGGGATCTATATAAAGGAGTCAGTGAAACTGGCCAATTTGATCTTGTGAAGCCTGCCCAAGTCACTCTAAAAATCAGACCTCCCAACTCATGGCCTGGGAGTCCCATCTGGTCCCCTGTCTCTATCTAGTTTGTCAACAAGTTAGCCCCTCCCATTCCCAGTAGCTGAGGAGAGTTCCTCAAAAGGATAGCAGGCTGACATCCTGGGAAGTCTCCAGATGGCTTTCTACTTACGGGACCTCAGAGGTCAGAGGAGGGAACACACTGTGCTGGGAAGGCCATCCTGTGCAAGGCTGCTTCCCTTGGGGGTAATCAAGTGCTGTATGTAAAATCGGGGTTCCACAGGGGTGTGAAACATGAACCTATTTAGCCTTCATTCACTCCCTGGGGTAAAAGCCTCTTACGCCAAAAGTTCTTGAACCTGATGCTCTTTCTCAAGGCAGCCTGGCCTCACTCAGGTCTGATTGCTTAATTATATCCCACCTGTTGGACGGCTTTTCGGTATAGGTAATCAACCATCATCTGGAGTTCTTTGGGGATTTCCATCTGGCTCCCATCATCTTCAGTCCGCAGTGGCATCAGTGTCTGAAAAGAAATAAAAGCATGATAAGAAGGCCTACCAATGCAACTAATGCCAGGCTGACTTCAGGAGAACACATGCTATGGGGACAGCAAACTCATGGAAGAAGAGAAGCATTCGGTGCCTCTAAGCAAAACATTCCATTGTCAAATGAAATCAGGTGGCACAAAGTACAAAGATGACTTGAGAATTGAGAGTAGGTTACGGTAAGAAGTTTCAATGAATCAGGTGAAATATGCATCATCTTAGAAAAAGGCCATCCTGTGCAAGGCTGCTTCCCTTGGGGGTAATCAAGTGCTGTATGTAAAATGTTAGGGTGGTTTGTTACACAGCAATATATAATTGATGTAGTAAGCTAGCTGTAGGAAGGCTGAAGAATTCTCAGGTCCCTGGGAATGTAGGCATAGAAATACCTTGTTTGACTGGCTTGGCTGCTACACAGTTCTAAATGTTTCCTTATGGCATGTAACTCACCAGCTGTCTGATAGTTTCAAGTGGCAGGTTCAAGATTGGCTCCCTCATGTAGCACAATGTATGAAGGGGAGATCCAAAACAGCTGGGAAGGTAGTTCCCGGACACAGACAAAAAGTAATCCTTTCCCCTGTCCAAGTGCAAAACCAGAATGTCCTCAAGTTTGTCTTCACCCGAGTTGAGCTTTGTAGCCGTGGTCTTATTTACAAATAGCTCCAATTCAATCTCAATGGCAGAATCTGAAGAAAAATTTAAAAAGTAATATTGGCTGGTGGGAAGCTAAGAGGAAAGGAGGAAAAAAGATAGTAGGGAAGAGAGTCAGGCATGAAAGGTTAGGGAATTAGGTATCAGCTAACCAACAAGTATTTATGTGCTCAGCACTCAGGAGACATATGAACAAGGAGTTTACAGTCCAAGTGGGAATATGAAAACAAACAAAAATGTGAACAGGCAACTGCTATAAAATCCAAGTTCTAAGTAGCAAAGCTCAGACTAGAAATTATTAATACAGTAAGAAGGTATGAATCAAAGAGTTTGCCCTGAGCCAGGTCAGATGAGACACCTGATCCAGTAGAAAATATAATGCAAGTATCAGCCTGTGAACCGTCTGGAAAACAGGCTTAATCCCTCTATCACACAGCACAACTCAGAGTGCAAAGGAGAAGTTAGGAGAAAGACATGTATTGTACATTCCGGAACCAGATATAATTTCTGGATTACTACCTCATTATCTTTCCCCACAAGAGCAGATACTTGGGTGTTAATTATGGTGAGGCAGCCAGTGAAAATAGTTCTTTTATCAGGATTAACAGCTTCATAGCAATCATATGTTTTCTCTTTCTGTGAACTTATGGAACAAATATGTGACTCAGAATGCTTTTGAAACTGTACTCATGCTCCTCACTATTTTATATTTTATATATGGATGGTCCATCCATAGGGCTTTTAAAAAGTTTTAAGTAGACAAGAAAACACTCAGAAACAAAAAGCTTATTTCAGGAAAATGAGCAAAGAGAGGGTAGAGTGTTCCCCAAACCACTTACCAGGAACCTGAGAACAGAGGCCTTACCTGGCAGCAGGAACCCTCTGCTGGGGTTGGCATTCAGCCACTGCTTACAGTAAGACTTTTCATCAGGCTTGTTGATGAATTCAAACTGACAGGGCACTTGTCCATTCTGAATTGTAAAGGATTCTACTTGCAACTGCATGTACTTCACATTCTGGAAAAAGAACTGGGAACAAGCCCGAGACCAGTAAGACCAGTGCCCTCTTCTCAGCCCCCTGCCCAGACACCCCAACTGGGCAATCCTTTTCTTTTCTGGAGAGAAGATGAAGGACCACCTATTTCATGTTATGTTTCTGCTCTAAGTATTTACCTGGGAGGCTACAGCTATCACTAAACTTGTCTATGTAACCCAGAAACCCCCCAAAACTCAAAGAACTCACGTCGTTTTATAAATAAATTTCCTAAAGAAATCAAAATTTACGTCTTCTATACCCAAAGACCATTTCCAAAACACACTTCACAAATTCCACTCCAAACATGAAGACCAAGCTCATCCTTCCAAGTAACTGGACATCTAAGGAAATAAAGATACCCCCACCATAAATCTCCATTTGATATTGGTATTGTCAATTCCAAATGATCTATGTTGTGGCTCTTCCATGAAAAACCTTTAGCCCTAACTCGACTTCTCCCACTACCCACTGCTTTTCTATACTGCCTTCCCTCCCATCAACTCATTCCTACCCAAGAAATTCAGACTCAATTTAACCTCAAAGCAAAGAATCAGTAGGAAGACAACCCCAATGCAAGAATACATACCAGTTATACTAAAATCAAACGAAACACATTTGGATCACCTATGCCATTAATTAACTCATAAATGACCTATGTGTGGGTGAAATACATGAGCCGTAGGCTCTGGTTTAGAAGATCAAGAAATAAACATAATCTAAACCAATGACCCCTCTCTTTTCAGCTAGCATCATCAGCCTTACTTTATCTAGAAAGACTAGAGTCAGGGAGGTGCCTCCTGGAATTCTGAGCCCTATTAGATGAGAATTAAGTTCTATGATTAGAAGAGCCTGATGCCAACATGTCCTTCCTACCTCCTGTTTGGAGAGGGACACAGAAGGAATATTGGCATTTTCCATCTTATCCAGGGAGCGAACAATCTCCTCCAGAGTCTTCCGGTAAAGCTCTTCATTTATAACCTTCACCTGGAAGGGAAACATCAGACACTGAATTCCATGGCTTCTGCCTATTTCCTCTTTTTCAGTACAAAGGACAGAACCAGCAATGGGAAATAGTTGACAGTGAAGCAGAAAGTAAAGACTAAATAGATTTAATTAACAAAGAACCCAATTAACAATAGTTGTAGAAGGGTCCCCCAGAGGCAAAGCTCGTGGTAAAACCAACTACTTCATGATTAGCAGGCTATGTGGGAATTAAGGCTTGCTTTTCAATTCTGCCTGGTCTCAGTCCCAGGGCAGAAAGATGATCACGCCTTGCTCTACTTTGCTGCTACTAACAGACCTACAGTGAGAAACTTCTCTAGGGCTTTGATTTAAAGTAGTGTTTTTTAAAAAAACAAAACAAAACAAAAACAAACAAACAAAAATCCTAGCATTTCTCAAGCTTTTTAAACCTCTGCTCCATAAGCCAAGAAGATTTTGTCAGGTTTTCCCTTCTGTGTTTTGAATTATAAGCACATTTTTTTGTTATTTTCCAATTACAAAACTTTAATTATTACATTCATTAGGCTTTCTTCTAACCACCCACACATCTTCATAGATTCTGATGTGCCTCTACTTGCACCATTGAGAATTGATAATATAAAGAAATACACAGAAGGCACTGAAAAAGCGATACAAATAGAGAATAATAAAAGATGTTCAATTTCACTGATAATCAGAGAAATGTAATCTAAAACAATATTTTTTTCTTTTGGCTCATTAGGTTGGTAGAAATTTAAAAATTAATAAACTCATATTAGCCGGGGTGTGGGAAAATAAGCTCACACATGGTTGGCAGGAGTGTAAAATGGTAAGGACTGTCGAGAGGATGATATAGCAGGATCTAACACTTTATTTGAGCCACTAATTTCACCTCTAGGAATTTCATTCTATAGAAATACTAATACTGGCAAACAAAGATACATGTGAAGATTGGTCACTATAGCACTGTAATATAATAGCAAAACTGTAAACAACTTTTGATCATCAACATATACATTATGGTTTATCTATATTATGGAATATTTTGCAGCTTTACGAATAATGAAGAGGGAGTTCTATTTCTACTGAATGGAAAGATTTTCTAAGACATAATCAGTCGGGGAAAAAGATGTTCTCAGAACAATATGCATAATATGATCTCTTTTACAAAAAAGAAAAAAACATCTATGCTATATATAGAATACTGACACACATTTGTAAATACATTTTAAAAGGTCTGGAAAGATTCAGTCCAAAAAGCCAAGGGGAACTTCCATGTATGTAGAAACATGTGGTAGTATGACAAAACAATTATGAATTAAATTGAAATGAAAACAGTTTTTAAAGGAGCTTCCTTACACTCAAGGGGGAAAGAGGAGACTAAAAAGACAAAAGTGGTCTTGGCTATGAGAACCTACTCTCTACAGAATGATTACAACAGGCACCAGCTGCCCACCTACCCCAATGTCAAAAACTGAGCTGACAGGCTTGTGATCACTGGTCTTCAGGGCCATGTGGCTCTGGTAGCTCAGCTGAGTGATGTTCTTGCCTTTCCAGAGGATCCGGTCACACCAGGCAGGAGCACGACACTTCTCACTGAAATGCAAAGTCCACACGGGGGGCCCTCACAGGCACAGTAGCACCCACTGCCTGGCTAGCACCCTGGCTCCGCTGGGGAATGATGGGACAGAGCCTTCCAGTCCATGTGGCCCAGTGATCTGAGAGGGCAGGAGTGATTCGGGCTCACCTAGAGATAATATGCATCCTGTGTATCATCCAAAACAAGTGTGAAAGCTCAAAGCCAAAACACTGTTCAGAATGATTCCTTGCTCTTCATGCCCCTATGGGGATGAGGTGAGAGTCAAAAGGCAATCTGAGAGTAAGTACTCTATGATCCTTAAAAGAAGGTGGTCGAAACAGGTTCTGAATTCCTACTGCCTGGGTTCAAATCCTGGTTCTACACTTGCCTGTTTCAGGGACTCTTTAATTTTTCTATGCCTCAGTTTCCTGATCTATAAAATGAGAATAAATCATATCTATTGAAATAGGTTGTTGAGATTAAATGAGATAATATAAGTAAAATGTATGGAATAGGGTGTGGTATACCACAAGCACTAATAAAAATATGAACTACTATTAATGACCAAGTACAAGTTAAGTTAGTTACAATCATCTTATCACCCTAACCGTAGCTGAAAAGTAAATCGGTCTCAAGAATTTTTATGGAACAATGGCTAAGGTAGTCAAAAAGAGACTATAGAATAAGGCAGGCTGCTTAATGAGCAGATACTGAGAGAAAATGTTCGACCAGAGTGCAAAACATGGAGAAAAAGACACAGGAAACCTATCTTCTTCTTTAGGTTCATGAGAGCAAACAAAGGCTTCCCTAAATTTCTGAGTTTTCATTTGCTCAAGCTCCTGAAGCAACCTCTGACCTACCTGGTATCCCACTTGTCGGAGCCAGTATCATATTTGTAGGTAGGTTGGAACGTGAGCTCGCCTTCTGTGAACCCTTCAAAGACAGCCTTTGCAGCCACCTGAGTTTTCAGCTGTACAAAAGGATGAAAGAAAAGAAAAACAACACTTCAGAATAAAAAGGTCAAAACTTGAATTAGCAAAGGAAAGGAAATCAATTTGAAATTCAAACCCTAACCCAAAGGGAAAGACCCACGAGAAAGCTGAGCTACAAGATTTTGAGTTAACTAACTTCTAGGAAGAGGAACAAGCAGACTATTCCTTCGCCTGTTAAACAGTTTCTAAGCCTCTTTCATAAGAGTTACCTGCATCCAAGGGGCCTGAGTACCATCTTACTGAGATGTCCCTAGGAGGATTAGATAGCAACAGATATAGAGTTTTCCCTTCCAGGTATATAACACTTCATCTGTGTAGCACAGTTGTTCCAGAAATAAAACTGCACAGAAAAGATCTGGAAAGATACAGTCCAAAAAGCAAGGGGGAACTTCCACATATGTAGAAATATATAGTAGAAGTACACCAAAACAATTATGAATTAAATTTAAATTAAAACCACTTTAAAAAGGAGCTTGTTCAATTAATTACATAAACTAAAGGAAGCTGTGTGCTTTGGTTTCCCTATCTGTAAATTTTGGATTTATAATAGAATCTGCCTCACAGGACTGTTGGAAAGGTGAACTGTCAATTTAGAACAGTGCTTGACACATTTGATAATAGCTAGTATCCTTCCTAGTGCACTAATTGTAGGAATACCTTTCAGATCACACTCTCAGCAAGAGATAAAAACCATCCCCTCCTCACCACAGAGCACCCAGATTGGTACTAAGTGGACTGGTGAAGAACTGTCAGATCTAACACTGAAGACAGTTGCCAAAATGTGGATTCCTAATATAAACTATTAAAGAAAAAGCAAGAGGAAATAATAAAAATGTAGGTATTAATGTAAGCTGATGCTTCTTGAATGGGTATATATAGACCTTAAAACCATCTGGAAAGCAGAAAACATACAAAACAGGTAAAATTAGTTAAGGACAGACCAGAAAAGAAGGCAAGAGGAGATAAGTATTAAACTCCCTGAGAAATTAGAATGCCTCAGTTCAGAATACAGAGGCAATAATAGATAGTTACAGAACAAACTAGGTTAATGCTAAAATGGGGATTAAAGGGAATTTACCAAGGAAAAGGGCTAAAGAAAAAAAATGGGTTAATAAAGAGATTATTCATGATGAAGGATATAACAAAGTTGAGGGTCTTTTTCCTTCAATTGATGTGCACTAGGGGAAAAAAGATATCAGAAAGATTTTAACTAATAAATACTAAGGTTCTTAAAGGGGGACGCAGACTAAAAAGAAAAAGGACTTTAACATTCTGAACAATTCCTACAACTTGAACAGGTTTTAAATCTATTGAGGAGTAGCCCGAAGAGAGTCAGAAACAGATTTCTCTTGTCCTGTGAACACTCTGAGACAGAAACACTAACCCAAAGAATGGCGGAAAAAATAAAGGTTACAGAACTGATTCCCACCGGAAGGAAAGAAAGCCACTTGGGGAAAAAAGAGTTGTATTCACATCGGACAAGTCTGAGGAGGAGATGGAGAAGAGAACGGGAGGCACGTCCAAAAAATTAGTAAATCGTTTTCGATATACCGAGTATCTCTTTCATAAGAAGTTGGGTACCCATTTAGTCCTATCTTGAATGAATAAATGAGCACATAGAGACAGGGAGAGAGAGAGAGGGAGAAAGAGAGCACGCTCTAGCTCCCAAGAGAGACTAGGTACCTCGAGGGACAAGCCGACGGGGAGACAACTATGGAAGAGGGAGATGCAGGTGAAAGAAAGACTTGGCTGGACATTAGCTCCTCAGGGAAACCTCCCAAGCTGAAGCAGAAGAGGCTGAGAGTTGGGAAGCCAGGCTTTTCTGTGCCCTTACAGAGTGAGGAAAGCTGCCTGAAAGGGTGCAAGCGGCCAGCCATCCGTACCTGGTCATATGCATACAGGGTTTGAAAGGCCTTCTCTTCGATGAGCTTTTTTACTTTTTCCACATCCAGTTCTTCTATCCTATAGTTGAGGTCCCCCAGCCACAAGATCACACTGTGAGGACAGAGCACAAAGGTCACAGGGTTTAGTAGGAACTTTACCTGTCTTATACAGTGGGCTTCTCACAAAAGGACCCTGAGGCTTAGACTCTGGGGAGCTGGGTGGGAAAGTGACTCAGCGGCTCAGAAAATTTTTTTCTTTTGTTATCCCATTTAATACCACGTCTAACACGCTGGTTACTCAATTACTTTGGTCCAAGTTCACTATAAATCACCTTGAGTCCTCCTTGACTATTTTATTCTTGTATGGTTGGAAAGATAGTCTAATAAAGTCTAAAAGTAAGACAATTTTTACTTCGTTTCTGGGAAGAGGCAAAAAAATCAAGTATTAGGAGCCATATCAATAAGCCAGGGACCCCAAAGTGGATGATGCCATGATGTTGCCTCTGCCTTCATGCATACTCCAGTCCACAAAACATACTCTCAGCCTTTGTTTTTAGAGCTGAGTTCTTTTGAAACAAAGCTCAACCTTTACAGTGGAGTCTGGGTTTAACCACCACCATGGCATCGGCTGGCTCTTTTTGCAATGACAGGTGTTTTATTATACCGGATACTTTGAGAGAAAGATAACTGAATGCTCCTAGATGACATCACACATCTCATAAAGTCCAATATTGCTCTATCAGAAGCCAACAACAAAGTCATTAAGAGAATCTACATAGCAGTACAAGCATCAAAATAAATGCATCCACAAGCTAAAAGCAGACAAACCAACATGCAAGCTGCAACCTTACAAACTAGGATGCTGCAAGTTCAGCAGAATGGAAGACACACTCCCTGCTAGGTTCCCTGGAGAAGGAAAGCCATCCTGTAAGCTTCCAGAATACCAGTGAGCTCAAGACAGTTCCACCATGGCAGCAGGCAGGATGAGAGGCTTGACTCTGTATACTCCCTGGCAGACATCATGGCCCAAGTGCTTTCTTCCTCTTCATAAAAATGTGACACAAGCTTCAAGTGTTACTGTCAAGTAAAATTCTAATGCCTTGAATTTTGACATATAGGAAGTTTTTAGAGATAAAGAGAATAGACCAAAATTAGCACAAGATGCTCCAAACAGCTGCAACTATAGCTTTATAAAGTTGAATCAAGAGGTATGAAAGACTAAGTGAAAGCAGACAAAGGCAGTCATTCTCCATTACATATGCTTTTGTTAAGAAAAGACGTATAAAATCCTAAAACATACTTCTAAAACCTGGGTTTGAAATGCTTGCTCTTTGGTTGCTTTCCTCATGATATTATATCAAGGCGAACCCATATTAAAATAAATCTTATGTATTTTCCAGGGACAAGTGATTCAAGAACGATCCTAGAGGTCTGCCATATGATAAGTTAGGAAATTAAGTATTTGCAAGGGACATAATCCACATGTGGTCCAGAGCTGGCTAGAGTTCCCACTCCAGCAGTGGGAAGCCGCCCCCAGTTACCTCCCTCACAAAGTAGAGAGCCCACAACTCCGGTGAACTGTTTAGGGAAGAAGCCCAGACTCACTCGTGCTTGCTGATGGTGAGAGGAGGAAGGCTGGGGTCAACCTGACAAAACTGCATTCGAGAGCAAATGTCTTTATAGTCCTGGTTCCTCCTCTCATACTCTTCTGTGTGGGCTGCCAAGTGAGAATTCACAATGCAGATGCTGGTATTGTGGAACTGGAACCTGATCGCCACTCCTCCTTTGTTACCCTATGAAAAGGAGCCCAAAAAATCCATTTCACAACATAATTGTGTTAGTCGTTTTAAACCCACAAACTTTCTAAATGTTTTCTCTTAATTAGTCTTCACGATAATCCTGTGAGATAAGTAAAGCAATGTTATTGTCTGTACTTTACAAGTAAGAAAGCAAATCCAAGAGACAGAATGACTAGCTAGTCCATGGCAAAGCTGAGTCCACTTTTCACTAAATCACAGGTAAACCACATGCTTTCCTTTCTCTACAGGAACCTGAGGTCTTGCAGTAGAACTTAAAAGTAAGACTTTAATAGCCTCAAGAAGAGGAATTTGCAAACCTATTATCAGTATTCTTTCTTTTTCTTGGTGACCTAACATAGCTTCTGCAACCTAGTTCATGGATTAGACAGGAGGTTCGACTAGAGGCTCTAGGGTGGCATGAACACGAGGATATATGCTAGCAGGGCGAATCAGCCATCCAGTCACCAAAATACGATTTATAAATGGTCTGCTCGATCTAGTCCTGATTAAGGGTAAAATTCAGCTTATAAGACCAGCACCCACAAACGGGGATGCATGCAGTACAGCACTATGAGAAGCAGAGTCAAAATCTTAGAGACCAAGGGCCTCGCTGTGCCAAACATACCAACCAAGAACTCACCATCCTCCCCATGATGCCTGTCCCCACAGTCTCAGCTTCCACTTCTGAGATGTGCGCTGCATGCTCCTGCTTGACATATAGCAGCAGCATAATCCCAACCAGTCGGATGAGCTTCACCTGGAAAACAGAGCCAAACATTCACGTCATGACATTAAAGAGAAGGTGAGAACAGGAATAACTGTCCCAAAGAAAAAGTGGTCTCAGAGCTGGCTGACAGTGTTAACACATCTCCCTCTCTACACGAGGGCCCAGGATAATCACCTGTTCAACTCACTGAGCTTGCTACATGATAACTTAAACAGCCTACAAGTGCCAGCCTGCATCTTTCCCACCCATTGATGCCTCTTCTGGAGCACCTGGAACTGAAAATAGCAGGATAATTAGGACTAGCTTATAAAAAAAAGTGAAATACTGTCTTAGAATTTCCCTTCGTGGCAACCTAAAATTCAAAGGTCCCTGCCTCCTCTCTTACCTTTGCATACTTGGCATCTGGATGAAGGCTCTCTGATACAGCTTTAAACCACTCTTCCTCCTTTGGGGTATCATGGAAGAAAAAGGCCTCTTTGCTCAGATCGAGCTCCTGGAATCTATTAGGAGAAGCAATCAGTCAGACAGTAGAGAAAGATAATGTACAAGATGACACATTCTCAGATTGGTTTAGGTGCATAAATCCTAGCTTCTAGCTAACTGCGGGACCCTCAAGAGGAAAGAAAAACAAAACACTTAGAGCCAAGGGTCTAAATGCTAAGGAACTTACCAGTGCTTTCACAAGTAGCAGCCCATTTCTTCTTCATAACCAGCCTATGAAGCAGTTGGAAGCATCTGCATTTTACATCTGAGTTCACTAGCTCATACAAGCACTCAGTGGCAAATGGGTTCAAACCTAGGTCTGTATAAATTCCAATTCTAAGTCCTTTCCACTTTATCATACCAGCTTCTTTACTGCCCTCTCCCCATCGGTTGTACCCAGTATAGTGGTAGGAAGATAGTAAGTGTGAAACAAAAAGGACTGACTGATGGGGCTTTTTTTTAAAAGCTAACTTTCTTCTCTGGCAAAAGATAATTTTGTTTTGTGACCAACAAAGTATTAAAAGTCTAAGCAATGAAAGTCAGTTCAAGGTGCAGTGATATTAACAGAAGACTGCACTAAAAAATAAATATTAGCATTTAAATGCCAAGCACATCACTTTTATACTGCCAGAAATTTATTTACTAAGAGGAAGAACATCAAACAGAAAAGCTGCTATTATTAAGCACATGTTATTTTTCAATTCCTTCACCTGCTGTGAAGACTCAGGCGTATGTTGCTGCCCCCATCCCTTCAACCACGGCTATACACTCCTGAGGATGTAGAGGCTACTGGAAGAGAAGCACTCACCCTACACAGTATACATCTGGGGCCTGGATACCATGGCTTAGCCAGGGCTGGAGGCATTCTTTGGGGGACTGTCCATTGACATTGTATGTTCCCACAAAAAACCTGTCACCAAAGAGAATCAATCAGTCACTCGGGAGGACTAAGGAAATGACAGGAGAAAGTATTTTATGCTGGTTTTAGTCTCTCTGGAGTGGAGTTTTAAAACATAAGAAATGTCACATCTAATCTAGACTGAGGATTGTAGCACCAAGGGGTGACTTGCAGTCTGTCGTGGTATTTGCTGCTTTTGTGATAACTTTAAACACTATAGGTCTCCTCTGAACATTCCTACTTAGCTTTAATAACCATTAGAGAGCCATAATCCACAAAACAATTTACCCTATGTATGCTTCGGAAATGAAAAAAATGAAAAGTACCTTGGTGATTACTTTCAGAAAGAAAGTAACAGCACTGTTTACCATAATTGACTATTTCTATCCCTCGAATTAATGTCACTTTGTCTTATAGTCACAGCACAATGATTTAAGAAGATCTAGCAGAATCCTGCAACTTTTATTCATTTAACTTTCTGTCTAAAAAGATCACCAAACACTAACTTCATTTTACTAACTTCGATTTAAATGACTTTCTTCAAAGGCCTAGAATGATGATAGGATACACAAAAATCAAGATATCATTCCTTCTTCTGTACCCATATAGCTCTTCAAATATTTCTGAAACTATTTGCAAGTTGTGTCACTCCCACTCCACCATGCCTACCACAGTGCCTGGCCAGAAAAGGCAAAAAATAAATGCCTACTAATGAAGAGTGAAAGGAATCACTCATTTAGGAAATGATGAGAGAGATTCTGTGGTAGGATTTGCTTCCAAATCCAGAGAATAGGGAGAAGTGCTTAAACTTCAGAGAGCTGAATGATCATTTTGTTTTGAGAACAGCCTAAGACCCAGTTAGTTACCTGAAGTTCTGGATATAGGTATAATCCTCTTCTTTCTGCACTAGACGTAATTTCACTATTGTATCTCTCAGTCCAAACTTCTGCATTGATAAAATATGAGCCTTGTCTGATACTGTGATAGTAGATGAGCGAACCATGTCGGTAATTTCAGACTTGGATTTATTCTGTCTAGAAAAACAAAAACAAAAACAAATTTATCATATTTTGATGAGACTTCCATGACAAAATACATAAATATAAAACTAGAAGTTTCCACACACAAGCATCTGAGTCACAGAAGACTAAAGAAGGCTAAAGTAAAAGTTATTTGCTAAAATAATAGTACTTCTATGTGGAATTAAGTCAACTTATATGTTGTTGATTGTATAGTACACTGGTCCAGAGATCTGATAATAAATTCACAGAAGGGGACTTTGAATCTAATCTAATCCAATCCCTTCATTTTTCAAATGACAAAAATGAGACCCGGCATCATCAATGATTCAACCAGCTGGATGGTAGCAGAGTACAGATTAGAACCCAGATTTGACAGTGCTCTTTCTGGACCCTATTGCCTCACATAACAACACGATAAAACTATCCAGATCCTTTAACTTGATAATTCTACTTTATCTCTATTCCACAGGAATAATCCAAAATAAAAAAGCGATGAAAATTTGTATTTCATTATTATTTGTGTAGTTTTAATAGTCATATTAAAAATTATTTGAATGCCAACATTAACAGTTAAGCAAAATTTGACATATTTACTTAACAGAATCCTAATAGCTCAAGAAGCCTTTGTTGATTATTTAAAGATTATTTAATGAAGATATACTGAAGTAACTGGCACTTGAAGTAAGTTCTGACACTGAATAAATGCCACATAAATGTTTGATACTATCACTGTTATGTATATACTAATTAAAGCTAAGTAAAAATGTATCTATGTATACCAAGAACGCTCAAAAGTTAGCTGAGAGTGATGGGTCTAGCTACATTTAAGGTTCAGAGATTATTCACTGCTGCTTAAGTGCATAATTAAAATATTAACACAAATAAGGGAATATTTTTATCCTGACCAAATGATTCTAGCTATGATCAGTAGAGGGCACTGGAGTACAGACGAAATATAACAGTACCTCAGTTTAAAAAAAGAGTAAATGAAAATGAATAAAAGTGTCTTCAGAGTCAGAAAACTCCTAAAAGAATGGGAGGGAGAAATCAAAACATATCTAATCTCCTACATTTCTAAGGTAAGGTTAGACTGCCAGTTTCAAATTCTAGATCTGCTACCTGCTAGTTCTGGACCTTGGGTGAGTTATATAACCTTTCTTCTTCACCTATTTCCTTAGCTGTAAAACAGAAAAAATAATAGTATCTACTCGCAGGTTAAAATAAGGTAATCTGTGTAAGTGCATGGTGCCTGGCATACACTGTAGGTGCTCATTAACTATCCAAGTTTTCTTAGGCTGTCTATCCTGGGACGACTGACATGCACCCTAATGGTTTCAGTTCTATAATGAGGAAAACCTCGGTCCTAAGAGGTGCAAATGAAGGAAGAGCTGCTTTACCTTGTGAGCAAGCTTTCTGGCTTATCCTGACCCCGGAAGCTTTGGTCCACAAGCAGGCCTTTCCCGTCTGGCCTCAAATTGTCAGACTGAGAACCACCTAAGGGGAGGGGAAAAGAAAGCAAACATACTTACATACACTTTAATATACAGACCACAGCTTCTCAAATCATACTATGAATTCGTGGCAGTCCATTCATTGCCCAAAAGCATAGGAAAGGGCTATGTTGGTGTCTGAGTGAAGTTCCAACAGAGGGTACAAGAAGAAAAAAAATATTTCATCTGGATGTCTTTACTGTCTTAACTCTCACAGTGAGTCTGACTCCCTTTTCATGGAGACAGAGTGCATTATAGAAAGAATAAAGCTATGAAATCTGCTTTAGACCTAAGTTCTATCACCAGCTCTATTATGTATTGGCCTTTGATTTGGGGCAAGTCATCTACCCTCTCCTAAGCATAGTAATTTGACCTGTCCTGCCTTCCTCACAGGTTTATCGTAGGGATCAAATGGTTGGCATGTGAGTAAGCACTTCGAAAGCCACACAACATATAAAATGTAATTTGACCTGTCCTGCCTTCCTCACAGGTTTATTGTAGGGATCAAATGGTTGGCACTTCGAAAGCCACACAACATATAAAAAATAAGATAGTGATCTGATTACCATTTACTGCAAGTGAGACTTCAATTCCAAGGATAAAAAAGGCAAGAGTCAGAGATATAAAACTAGAAAGGGTCTAAGTGCTTTAGAGAATGAGAAGCGCTTGTCATTGCCAACTAATTGCCTTGAAAACCTGTCAAATCAAGATAAAACCAAAAAGGAAAATTAATCTGCCAATAACTTCTCTGTTCCTTAAAAGCCAGATCTCTTGTCAACAAGGAACAGCATGAAGAGACCACAGAGAAATGCTTCTTCAATTTACAAGTTAGAAGGAGCACCAAGAGGCATGAAACGTCACTAAAGAATTTTGCTCTGAAGTCTATTATTTAACATGGACTTTTCAACCATGCATTCACATGATCCAGAACAAACAAAAAAACTTTGGAGTTGAAAAGAAAACACCATCATTTAAACATGAAAATAATTACATTTCAATGCCTCCAATGAATCACTAAGGCCTTTCAATTTTGCTTCCTAAATGCCTCTCAAATCAATATATTCCTATCCCCAATGTCACTATACTAGTCCAGGTTACCAACATCTCCCTGGAATGACTTCAAAAACCTCAACTAGTCTCCCTGCCTCCGTTCTCACTCTACTCTCTCTAACTCAATCTCTACGCTGTGGCCAGAGGATTTTTTGAAAAAGGAAATCTGATTGTACCTCTGAAAACCTTTTAAAAGCTCCCTATGGGATAAATTCTGACCCCTTAATATGGGTACCAGGTCTCTTCCCCGTCAGAATCCTGCCCACCTCTGGCCCCCTACCTCCTTGAACACCATATTCAAAATATATTAAAGTTACTACAATTATACGAAGATCTCATTAGAAATCAACTTCCTTCTTCCTTACTCTGCTTTACACAGTGGACTTCTACCCATGCTGTGGCCGGGGTCAACAAACTTTCTGTGCAGGATCAGAGAGAGTAGATGTCTTAGACTTTGCCAGCCATATAGTCTCAGTCACAACTATTCAACTCTGCTATAATAACGCAAAAGCAGCCATGAGCGTGGCTGTATTCCAATAAAACTTCATTTTATGGTCACTGAAAATTGAATATTATATAATCTTCACATGTCACAAAATATTATTCTCCTTCGATTCTTTTCAAACATTATAAAATATAAAAACTAGTCTTAGTTCACAGGCTGTACAAAAGCCAGTAGCAGGCTAGATTTGACCCCCATTGTAGGCCACATCTTAGAAGTCACTTCTTCTAAGAAGCCTCTGTGACCCCTCCTAGACTGGTCAGATGCCCTGATACCAGTGTTCCCATAGCTCCCTGTACCTCTCCCATCGTACGTAGCCTTGAAGGCTGTGTATTGTAACTGTCTGTCTCCCCACTTAGACTGTAAGCTTATTGAGAACAACACTACATCTGATTTATTCATCACTGCATCACCATCATCCAGCATACCAGCTAGCACATTATGATCCCTCAACATTTCAACAGAAAATACTGGATGAACATGGATCCCTTATGTGCCTTATATATAAATATATACCATCAGTATTCTTTTGGAATGTTTCAGGTCATCTTCTCATTGTCTTCGGCATACAAAAAATAAATAAATAGAGGGAAAACTAGAATTGGTTGTTTCTAGACTTCTATGACCCCAAGGTTAGTTCATTATTTCTAGAAACCAAATCCCTGCTGGATTCTACCTCTCTTGCTTTACCCTCAAGCTTAGAGAGCCAAGGTATTTGAGTTAGTGAATGGCATACAGGGACACCTATTAGAATGGTTAAAATTTTAAAAACTGACAATACCAATTGCGGGCAAAGATGTGGAGCAACAGTAACTCTCATTCACTAATTGTAGGAATGGAAAATGGTATAGCAATTTGGTATTTTGGCAGTTTCTTACAAAGCTAAACATAGTCTTACCATATGACCCAGCAATCACATTCCAATGTATTTACTTATTTGAAAATTTATGTCCATATAAAAACTTGCAAGCAAATATTTATAACAGCTTTATTCATAATCATCAAAAACTGGAAGCAACCAAGATGTCCTTCAACAGGTGACTGGGTAAACAAGCCGTGGTACATTCATATAATGAAATATTATTTACCAATAAAAAAGAATGAGTTATCAAGCCACAATAAGATGTGAATGCAAATTAAATGCATATTGCTAAGTGAAAAAAGGCAGTCTAAAAAGGCTAAATACTATATGATGCCAATTATATAACACTCTGGATAAGGCAAAACTATAAAGATGGTAAACAGATCCATGGTTGCCAGGGGTTGGGGGGAGGGGATTAAATAAGTGAAGCACAGAGGACTTTTTAGGGCAATGAAACTATTGTGTAAGAAACTGTAATGGTGGATACATGATATGCTCTGTCTGTTTCAAAACCCATAGAACTTTACAGCACAAACAGTAAACATGAATGAATATTAATGAAAATCTTTAAAATTCATTTCTGAGGTCAGGGGATCCTGGAATCTAACTATATTGTAAATGTATGAAACAACCTCACTGAAGGGGGTAGAAGAAAAAATGCTTACCTAAGTAACTTCCAAAATGAGTGGAGTCTAAGACTAAAAGCGAAAGGCACTGCACTCTAGCTGACGATGCTGTGGGTTAACAATTCTGACACTACTATACATGTACACTGGAACTGAACAATTAAGTAAATGGGTGGTGGATTGCGGGAGCCAGATTTCTCACTGTTGGGGAGGGAGGTTCCAGATAAGCAAGAAGAAGAAGCTAGGATGCACGTGGTAATGGACTAGATAGTGTTGGAGATACCAATATAAACTCTTGTTTACCTTAATATAAATAGAGATGGTTACATATAGAAATATACACACACAGACACAGGTAAATACATGCACTTGTATTTCCTTACTTTGTCAGCTAAGAGGGCTAGAAGCTAAGAACACACCAGTAGTAATGGCCACACTTAATGCCCAGGTCTTTGTTTCTAATATTATTTTCCAACATAAGGAGCCAAGGCTCCTTGAGCTATGGTTATGCCAGGAATGGGGCAAGAAATATAAAAGATGAGCCTGGAGCAGTTTGTAGTACCAGAAAACAAAAAAGTGCTCAAAAAAACAAAAACAAAAAACCCCACAATGATGAGAGTATATCAAAGGGACACTGGAGCCAACTGAAAGAGCTCCAATGGCCACAGCTGGAACAATTTGAGCAACAAAATAAAGTAGTACTGGATTATAATTTAAAGTACAAAATAAATGTTCATCAGTCCATAATTATATAAATAATTGAATAAAAAAGAGGAGACAAATCTATGATGAATTACAAATAATTTAGGTAATATCCTGCCTTTAAGGAGGTGAAATGCAACTCCCCACTCCTTAAGTATGGGCTGCACATAGTGATAGTTTCGAAAGGGGGCAAAAGGCTAACTACGGTGGAGAAATCTGACCAGCACATTTCAACCAGGTGGTTAAGGTTCACACCAATGGTGATGAGTCCTGTTGATAGCGCACCTTACAGGATGTGATGAGGATAATATTTCACTTCTGTCGTCTCCCTCCCCAAACCTACAACCCCAATCTACTCGTGAGAAAAATACTAGACAAATCCAAATCGAAGGGCATTCTATAAAACACCTGACCAGAACTTCTCAAAACTGTCAAGGTCATCAAAAACAAGGAAAGTCTGAGAAATAGTCACAGCCTAGAGAAGCCTAAGGAGACATGATGACTAAATGTAATGTGGTACCCTAGGTGAGACCCTAGAACAGAAAAAGGACATAAGGTAAAAACAAAGGAAATCTGGATAAAATATAAACTTCAGTTAATAATAATGTACCGATATTGGTTCATTAATTGTGAAAAATGTGCCATAACTAATGTAAGATAATAATACGGGAACTGAGTGTGGGATATATGGGAACTCTTTGTACTATATTCACAATTTTTCTGAAAACCTAAAATTGTTCTAAAACAATACTTAAAAAAGGTATATATATTTTTAGGTGAGGCAACCCTTGATTTATATATATACACAATATGTGTAAATTACATATGTTATATATATTATATATCTCTCTAATATATAGTATTAATGCTATTTGATGTTATATCTTACATGTATTCCTTGGTTTATTAGATGGTATTTCCACTAAAATGTAAGCTCTATGAGGCAGGGACTTTAACTTCTATATGCTGTTTCCCAGGGGCCTGGAACGGCATCTGCTGCACAGTACGTTCGCAATGTGTTAAATGCGCGAAAGTACCAGGAAACTTAAGCTGAAGTCTAGCTTTACCATTACTTTCCTGTGTGATAAGTTACTTCCTCTCTTTGAGTCTTAGTTTCTTCACCTATAAAGTAGAGTCTTTAATATAAATACCTCATGGGGCTTTACAATATACAAAGGCGAATTGAGGTATAAGAGCTCTGTTTCTGCATGCCAGTGCTTTCTAAGGACTAGGGACTTGGGGTTTTTTTTTTAGGAGTTCCT